TAGTGGACAAGCAACTACTGATGGAACATGCAGGGCTACACAATAACTTTGTGAGAAATACAAAAGTATGAAAAGTCACTGACCACACATATTAGCTCATTTGTCAGGCATACAAGCACACATTTGTGATTTCAAATAAAAATCTGTGATTTCAAATAAAAACATGTTGCAACAACAAATTTTCAGGGGAAATAAATTTGAAAGTACGGCCTGGACAATTTGCATGATTCTTAATATTTGCATATTAATGTACCTTTAACAAAGTGCTGATTCTTCCGAAAGTTGTCAAATGGCTGACTGTTATAATCTATAAATCCTGTGATGGGTTTGCGGACGTCAGAGAAATGTCCAGCTGGGAAACCCTGGAATCGATGCTGTTGGTTAGTGGGTGGTTGGGTTCCATCTAGGACTCCAAGCTGAGGCATGTCTGTAGGAGTTACTGGCAAACGGAAAGGAAAAACTTTTTTGTGAACAAAACTTGAGAACTGCCATACTGCTTACAGACAGTCTCCCTATTTCACAACATGCAACTTGACTGTGCATTAACATTTGATAATGCCTGCTGCATAAATCAAGTGCTGGCCCCGGATACGAGACGGATACTTGATTCTGATTGGTCAAGAGTCTGTGTGCATGTGGTTTGCCACACACACGCACACCAAGTCCATATAAGGATATTCTCTTGGACAACTATAAAATAAAATGGACGGGGGTGTTCAGGAAAATGAACATTTAAGACTGGCTCAGAAGGCTGAATGCTGATAATGCCCGAGCCACAGTTGCGTCCATTTTCCTGAGCAGCTCTTCAATGCATGTTTAAGATGGGCCAAGAACATATTCATTCCCTTCGTAATAAGTGAGTCGTAAATATGGATGCAATGTAATCAGGTCTTTTAAATGTGTGTATGTTGTCTGATTTGCTTTCACTGGAACAATGTAATATTATATGACGAACCATTAATTAAAATACAAATTACCACCTCCCACTATCACTGAAATATCAACAAATGAGGCCATGTAAATGTAGCTTTTTCCATGTATAACTTTTGCACACGTACAGAAGGCACTAAAGTGTTCGATTTGTTCAAGCGCTGGTTAATGTATTTATTGATCACTACGACAACCTAGAATAAATTGAACCAGGCTAAAAGTATCTTCACACAATAACCCTACTTGGCGTTTGTGTTTCAAATCAATACAAGGTCTGTTGACAAGCTACAGTACAAATGTCTTGTATGGGATGACAGATAAAGGCAAGAAAGACTTCCTAGTCATCCGCTTGAGCTTCCACTCAAGGAATCATTGCTAACTGGCTTCAATAAATCTGAAAATTTCATTATCATTGTAATTATCTCATGATCCTTTCCACATGTCTGTAGCACTAGGGGAAATACACTGGATTGAGGGGAACCATAAATCAGGCTATTTTAGCACAAAGGTAAAAAGGTTACCATATATGCATGCACACACGTACTGGTACGCCCATATCAAACAGATACCTACTGTACATGTACATGCAGAACTAAGCTACATTACACTTGTAAATTATCTTATAATGTACACTTTGGCTGAGTCAATTCGAATAATTCACTATTTGAATACTCAATCTTCAATCTGATCTAATATCCAAATATTCGGTCGTACAGACCAGCAGATTGTTGATGAACAAACCATATACATGTACTTGTACAAAATCAGTTGCAATAACACACACAATTGTACATTATAATCACTATAATAGCTTCTCAAGTCTAGGAGTATCTCCAGCAACGATTTCAAAAGATTTAGAGACAAACAATACTTCTTGTCCTTTGAAATTTTTTAATGAATAATCTACTTTTTGGACCGTAAGATTTTTGTCGCTTTTCATGTGAATCTGCTTGAAACAAGCCTCCACAGTGCAATTTTTCTCATTTAAAACAAAAGAAATTCTCCTCCGTTTTCATGAATTTTGCATTTGAATATTTGAATTTGGAAAACTATTCGAATATCCCCATATTCGGCAAAGTCCTACCTCAAACCAGGCAACCTGTATTTTTTTTATGAAACCAGCCAACACTTTCCACAAAATATACTGAGTAGCTATTTTTTATAAATAATTTTTATCCTCTTTGTCAACACCATGCATTCATGTTTCTACAGATTTCTACCTTCAGAACCTGTTACTGTTACTCTAACGTCTTTCATAATTTCAAAATATTTAGAACTTCTGATGGTTGAAAAAATGTCCTTGAACTATCATCTCCCAGTGATTCCTACAACACCTCTCATAAAATCACAACGAGTACAGGGACCTGTATCCATGTAACTCCCACAATAATAATGAACTTTGTATTGAAGCAACTCACTAGAATCCACTTCTGTAATATAAAAGGCCCAAGTCCACTTTCATAATGTGACGGTGGTTGGCAATCACAAAAAAATAATTGTCCTAGTCACATTTAATTAATAAATAAAACTGGTTGATGATGAGTGCATCAGTACCGAATCATGCTCTCCCACCAGTTCTATTTCTTGTCCAATTTGTACTGTAAGTTTATGATTCTTGATAGTTCTCTAAAGGGAGGTAAACTGATTAGGGAAATTGTCATTGAATGATTTACACCACAAGCTCTTAGGGATCTCTGAGAACTCAATAATGCAATGTACTGGTACATATATGCAGTTTACTCAACACAGAGACAGGTTTCTCTTTTCATGGAGGTACATGTATAATTTCTATAAAATTCTGTTTCATAATTATTTTTCAATAGTCCAGTATCTACTTGTACATGTACAAACACCAGCAATCAATCAATCAAAGTGTAATTTCTTGTGAGTCAATGGTGAACTGTATTACAGATAATCCATGAAGCTATTAGTTAGACTTCAGGCAGGCTAATGAAATGCTAACTAATTTAAAGGGCAAAGGAAAATTTGTGACATGGTAAATTAGTGATGATATGATCTTCATTGTTAAAAAAATGTGAGGCTGTTTGAAATATTTCATAGTTGCTGCCAGGAATAGCCAGCAGGTTACATCATAGATTTATCATTCACAGGTTTACAGAAACCATTCCAGTTATTTTGATGAAAAAGAACTAAAAGAACTATAGTACTCGGGCTGTAGGCCTATACGAGACTGGACTGAAAAACTAAGTGAATAATACAGTAAACGACTTGGTTTTTCCCCTCCTAAATTTAACTTTTCTGGACATGTTTTTGCTTTCTGAAGGCTAATTAGTCACTGCAGGGAATCATTACTTGCGTCCGTATATGGAAACAAACTAGGTGAGAAGAGGCTGAAGTGGAACTGGAAGGCCTCAACTCAAGCTCAAGTCTGTCATTTTGTCAACAACTAGCAAAAATGCCTACTTACTGTCGTGTTCCAACTTGAGAGATCCACTGTTTGCCATCTCAGGAATCATCAGTCGTACGTTCTTGGTTCACATAAAACTTTCTCTCTATCTGCCTGTGTTATTAGAGTTTTAGTTTACTTTTCTATTGGCTGTCATCACCCACAGTTAGCTGCCATACTTAGCGGATTATGTCGGTTCCTTACACCTTGCAATGTTTGCGCAACTTGTATGGTATCTCTGGGCGCGTGGCTCATTCACTACTGCATGCATTAGCGTTGCTAGGCAGACCACAGGTGGCCGACCCATGCCCAGCAGCCAACGCATGCTTGCGGCGTATGTCTACCTGCGACGGCTAGTTACTGCACATTTTAGATTACATAATAGAACAGTCGTAGAAACGAAAACGTGACCGTACAGCCTATGCACCACAGACATGATATGCACATGCAGCATGTAGGGGGCGCTTTTTATTTCATCCACGTCTTGTTTACAAGACTATACTATCTAATTCCTTCGTGCGTCCCTGGCTAAACGGTAGCTAGCTTTGTACATTGCCTTCCCTTCTAGAAACCTACTTCTCTTCAGATTTTGCCATATTTCTCGTTGGTGTGCATCTTCACTATCCATGGATCGTCTACAGGCTCTAGAGATCACCCATTTACAGAAGCTGCAGCATATTTTTGGCGACTATTCTGAGACTATGTTGTTCTTGTCTCATTTAGGGGATCCACGTAGTGCTTTCTTAGTATATGTTCCGTTGGTGTATTGCATCAGCCGAGGGGCGGGGTTGAAGGTGTTGTGGGCTGCAGTTACATCTGAATGGCTCAACCTTGCCCTTAAATGGTATGCTTACCAATTGCGTTTTATTTCATTGTATTGGTATATCATTCTTAAGTGCCATTTCTTACCTTTATATTTCCTGAAAAAGAATTGAAAACACAAAAACCAAAAGAATCTCCAATTCAACCATCTGACATTTTGCTTTCTGCCATGTTTACTTAGTTTTACTACTACTAGGCCTAGTACTACGACTAGGCCTAGGGGCCCTTGCCTATTCTGCTTCTGAGAAGCAAGTTTGGCAAAGCTAAACAAGAATTATTCAATTGATCCTACATTTGCATTTGTTCTGAAAAACATCTTGGTTGTTGTTAGGAGAATAAAATGTTCTCAGGATGAAAAAAGAATGCAAAATTACAAGGCTAAAAATTACAAGGCTAAATGGTTTTGCCAACAACATAATCTAACCAGTAGATTGTGAACAAAATTTAGGCAGTGATTTATGTTGTACATGTACAGTAGGTCTGTCGATGTCAATTCGATTTCTTTTCAGAAAAAGCAATCTTTGAAACAATTAGTTTGAAACAAAAGGCTAGCTTTAATTTCATCATTATCTTCCTTTACTGTGCAAAAACCTCAACAGGAGTAATTTAAAATGATGTTTTTATCTACCAGGTTACTGAATGGTCAACGACCATATTGGTGGGTACATGAATGCAACATGTACAAAGAAAACAACCGACCAATCATCAAGCAGTACAGATTGACATGTGAAACAGGCCCAGGTAAAGTCATCTTATAGGTGCCCCTTTGAGTTTGACTAGTATTTTCCACGCGAAGTAGCATATCTAAGATTTAACGAGGGAAGTGGTAGTACACGTACTTTGTTAACCCTAACTCCTTAGTGTGTATGTAAAATCATATTGAAATCGGAGGATTTGAGACTGTTACGGTTAATCCATCAAGCACTAGTGTTTCTTTTTTCTCATTTTCTTTAGGTGTGCCATCTGGTCATGCAATGGTTACTACTGCAGTATGGTTCATCATGATGTCATCCCTAACAACACACCTGGCAATAGCATATAAACCTAGTCAGAGGAGTCTTATGATGAGGTTTATTTGCATATTGCCATGGTTATTCCTGGCTGGATTGGCATCGGTCATATGTGTGTCTCGGGTCTTCATAGCCACTCACTTTAGCCATCAAGTATTGCTTGGTGTTGCTGTTGGTAAGCATGAGGTCTTCACTTACAAATGATTTGAACATCATAAATGCTTGAAGTCAAGCATGAATGCAAAAGTTTAACTCATTTCAACTTCGAAAATTCTGCTGCAAAGTCTCC